TAGTGAGGTGGGTGGACCTAGAGACTATCATACAGAGTGAAGTAAGTCAGAAAGAGAAAAACAGATACAGTATGCTAACACATATATATGGAATCTAAAAAAAAGAAGAAAAAAATGTTCCAAAGAACCTGGGGGCAGGACAGGAATAAAGACGCAGACGTAGAGGATGGACTTGAGGACATGGGGAGGGGGAAGGGTAAGCTGGGACAAAGTGAGAGAGTGGCATGGACATATATACACTACCAAACGTAAAATAGATAGCTAGTGGGAAGCAGCCACATAACACAGGGAGATCAGCTTGGTGCTTTGTGACCACCTAGAGGGGTGGGATAGGAAGGGTGGAAGGGAGACGCAAGAGGGAGGAGATATGGGGATGTATGTATATGTATAGCTGATTCACTTTGTTATACAGCAGAAACTAACACACCATTGTAAAGCAATTATACTCCAATAAAGATGTTAAAAATAAAATAAAATAAAATAAAATAGCAGCCAGTAGGTATTAGTAGATTTTAGTATTGTAAGAAAAACTGTCTTGGGTTTAGATGTGTGAGTTTTAAAGGGGTAAATTTCTCCTTACAGAATATCTCAGACTGTGAAAGTATCATACAGGACATATTTTGTAAAGTCATATCATTGACTTTTTCTGTTATCCGGGCTTGATAAAGCCTAGGAAATAACAATTAGATGACATTTGCTAACACTCAGATTATATCTACCATAATACCACCTCTCTCCACCATTGTAACTACGTGCTAACTGCCACTGTGTCCAAGTATATGAAGTCATAAATAAGCCCCAAGTGTTAAGCAAATACAAAAGCAGACATAACATTTTCCCCTGCATATGGGAACCATCTCTTATGAACTTAATTTCAATCAAGATAGGCAGTTTAAATTGTTTCTCGATTTCCTTTGTTAAGAAACTATTTATATTCTTAAAAACAAACTTTCACTTGTGGTTCTTACATGAAAACAGTGGACAACTTAAACATTTTGCAAACTGGAGAGTTCTAGTACACATATTTGTCTGAAGCATTTTTTGAGAGAAAGTGTATGAGGATTATAATAACTTTGGATATTTCAGGTGCTATAAAGATTAGTCTCCACATTCGGTCTCATGCTGGGCCTGCACTGACGTTATTAAGTTTGGGCAAATGTGTAGAGTGAGTGAAGGAAATGTTTGGAAATGGGCCATGCAGAAGGGGTGAGGAAAAGCCAGACATTTAGGCTACCCTGTTGCCATCAGCACTTCCTCAGTGCAAGGCTATTTAACGAACTTAGCATTTACAGATTTTTACTAGTGTCAAAATTTTGGAAGGCATCTTGTTTGAATATTCACACTGTTTTGCTTTTCTTGCAAAAGAAGAAGAAAAGAATTGAAAGAGCATTTGCTACACCTCTGTATTGCCAGTACTTTATAGTAGCTGCAGTGTAGCACCTTATTTTTTGTTTATCTTTGCCTGTTTTTATGTTGTCCCTTAACTGAGCATAAGAGTATCGTTTCTCTGACATGCAGAATTGTACTTTGATGGTCATTAAAAGTTTGGAAATGAGTGGTGTTTGGTATTAACCAGCTGTGGCCTTGAGTGATGAAATTCTAAAAATATGTAGTGTGCCTTCTCAAAAAGCATATGCCTTAAATATGTAGAAGTAATTAAACATATAAGACCAAACTTTAGGCAAAATTGGCCGAAGGTGCTGTAAGCATCCCGTTCTTGACTCGAGGGACTGTAGTACAGGAGCTGGAGACTTTGATATGTAAATGGAAATAATTGCATAACTATCAATTCTCAAATGAACAATAAAATAAAAACATTCCTATTTTATTTATTTAATTTTGTCTGTGTCAGGTCCTCGTTGCTGCACGCGGGCTTTCTCTCGTCGCGGCGAGCGGGGCCTACTCTTCGTTGCTGTGCACGGGCTTCTCATTGCAGTGGAGCACGGGCTCTAGGTGCGTGGGCTTCAGTAGGTGTGGCTCGCGGGCTCTAGAGCGCAGGCTCAGTAGTTCTGGCGCACGGGCTTAGTTGCTCCGCGGCATGTGGGATCTTCCTGGACCAGGGATCGAACCGTGTTCCCTGAATTGGCAGGCAGATTCTTATCTATTGCACCACCAGGGAAGCCCCTATTTTACATGCAGAAATAATAAAAATGAGCACATGCACACACCCAAAGAATGCCATAATTAGGTCAGATCTATTAAAGGAGTCTTAAGGATTTCAAGAAGGTTGATGCAAGACAGAAAAGAAAGTCAGTGACTATCACTGTGTATGTCTCCTGCCTAAATTCATTAACTACTTGTTATTTCACTCACTTTGTTGATCTTTCAAACGCCTTAGGAACCTAGAATCCCAAGAATTACAATAAGATAGCTAGTCATTACAGCTTTAAAACAAACAAATAAACAAACAAACATTCCTGGATACCTTAGTCAGTTAGAACATAGCCACTGACACCTGAGAAGATTCATAATTTATTCCAAGAATGAAAAACTTTTTATTATTACTAGCAGTGTTAGTATCACTATAATTGGAAAGAATAAGAATAGACCAGATAAAAATGTTTGCATTTTTTCTTTTGCCTGTGTTAAAATATAAAATTTATTCTTGAAACTCCCTGTAAAGAGTTTTTAGTGTATTCTATACTAATTTTAATGACTATGTTCTACCTTATGCCTATGTTTACATGGAACTTTTCATTTAAGTATTTTAATCAAAAATATTTATTTAGCATACTATCAGATGATGCAACAAAAAAAATACTACTTAGGCACAAGTAAATGTTTTTGTTTCTTTCCTGGAGAATGTATTGGAGTGACTCGGTTTTTGTCTTTTATGAAATTGTTTAAAAATATTTTCAAACATTAACTCATGGATTTTTTCTTTTAGCTTCAAAAAATATGGGGTCATTATATCAGCTCAGCAGATGTCAAACCTAAATTTCTCTTGTCATAATTGAAGCCTGTCTCCTCTTCCTCCTCGTTCACTGGGAAAAGAGAACAGCTGTTGGACATCACCCTCTTACAATAACTGTTTCCTCCTTAACTTTGTCTTTTTCAGTTCATTTGAAAACCTCAAGTCCTAATTTTCCTCATAGGTCCTATTATTCTTGCTAAAATTGTTGGATGTGATCTTAGAGTCACACTGCCATGGCCTCACATGTGGGGAGCCCCAAATTGAGAAGAGTTGCCTCAAAAACACCACATTTATCACAAAGGTATGGTTGCCTAGCTCATTTGCATAACATTTCAAGTAATTATGATAATACCATAGAGGAATGGTACATTACATTTACAGATTCCATGTGATTCTTTCCTTGTTTTTCACAATTTAGTAATTTTGTATTGCATTTCGTTTAAATTAGTTCTTCTTGTGACTTATGACCTGGATTAATTTAAGTATTTTTCAAATCATTCATTCTATCTTAGATTAGATTATTTGTAAGTAGAGGTCAGAACGAGTCATGGAACTATCTCAGTTTTCCTGAAAAGTTACTCTACTAATTCACTAAAGTCCTTGTTGGAGTCAGGATATATAGAAATAATGACATCTAGAGAAAAATTTGAAAATGGTGATATGTATCTACACATTTTCATGTACAAACATTGCAAAATGCGAGTAACTTTTGAAGCAATCTCTTTCTTCCCTCCTTACTCTCAAACTTCTGAATCTATTTTTATTCTATTTGTATTCATAGATGTTAACTGTATATATGCTATACATGTATGTATATGTAGATATGTATATATATACATACATATATGTTATATATATATATATTTCAGCAGTTAAGAGCATGGGTTTTGAGTTTTACCTTTGGCATTTATTAACTCTCTGATACACATGAAAGTACTGAATATTTTTAAACCTCAGTCTCTTCATCTATAAAATGACAAAACCAAAGCTGACCACAATATCACAGGGTGGCTGTGGGAATTAAGTGGGCTGATACATTTGATACTTTGTAAAATATCTGACACACAGTGAACATACAATATGTATTATCACTAGCACTGCAATTCTATTATTATTTTTATTATTATCATCATCCCCTGAGTGACATCACCACTGACATAGACTTCTCTGTTACACATTACTCATACTTTAGTTGTAATGTATTAGTGACCTTAGGAATATTTTAACATGACTGCTTTCCAATCCTGTATTTTTGTTGTTATTGTTTATTTGCTTGTTTAAATCTGTTAATGGCTGTTTACTCTCTTCTCACAAGCTGTATATTTACACCTGTGCTCTTTAAAGCATTACTTCTGTCTTGGTTTAACGTTTTTTGGTTACACTGCATCATTTGTCTTTATGTGGGTAATGTTTTTTTATGTTCGACAATCATAGAACACAGGAAGAAGACAATAACCATATAAAACAACTAATACAGGCTCAATGAAGCTCACAGTTGGAGGCTGGCTCTCCACAATATGTCTACTTTGTTTCTAAACAATAAACTTAGGCTGAGTATAGCTAGATTCCCCATGTAGAGAGGAACCCCGTTTCCTGTCTCCCTTGACATTTACACAGGAGCTACAAGGAGGCAGAGCCTCACTCAACAGAGTTGGAAAACTCTGGACTTTCAAGCTGACTCTGAAATCATGTTGGCAAGAGAAACACTTTCTATTTGGACAATGGCTCCCTAGAAAGTTTGCATATTAGTATTTATATCAGTGGAGGTCTTGGAGCCCACTTTGCTAAGCTTCTTCTAGAGCTTCTGAGGAAGACTGTTAGGGTCATCCACTGGCTAAACTGAGTCATCAATGATGATTATCTATTTGAGAAAATTGGAAATCTTAGTCCAGCAGAACTTAAAAAAAAATTCCAATATTTGTGTGCCTCACAGTTTTCCATGCTAATGAGTAATAATTAGAGTCAAATAGTTCCTATGGCAAAACCAATCATTTTACATTTAGCATGCAGGAGTGCTAATTATTAATAACCCAAAATGGAAAATTCAAGTGGGATACAGCTCCTATAAAGAATAAAATCTATAGGGCTTCCCTGGTGGCGCAGTGGTTGAGAGTCCACCTGCCGATGCAGGGGACACGGGTTCGTGCCCCGGTCCGGGAAGATCCCACATGCTGCAGAGCAGCTGGGCCCGTGAGCAATGGCCGCTGAGCCTGCGCGTCCGGAGACTGTGCTCCGCAACGGGAGAGACCACAACAGTGAGAGGCCCGCGTACCGCAAAAAAAAAAAAAAAAAAAAAAAAAAAAAGAATAAAATCTATAGACTATTATAATACTATACAATTACATAATAGTAATTTTAGTGAGGTATAGGCACTCTTGAATAGTCCTTCTTATGTTTAAACCTGATGTTAAGTAATAAGACATGTCGGTGAATGTCAATTTCAAAGTGTCTACATCCCAACTTGGCCTTGTTATTCTTTTCCATTATTACATACTCTTAATCTCTGAAAGAAACAGGGTTTTTCAGGAGAAACAGTATATTTGAGCCCTTTGGCAAGAAAATGCAAGATGTATTCAAGGAAAGAGGAAGTGGTTCCATTTGATTATAATTGGAGGCTTAGTAAGGAAGCCAATAGTGTGGGTTAGGAAGTTAGATTAGGTATAAATGATGCAAAATCTGGAAAGCCAAAACAAGGAATTAAAGTGTACTCTTTAGGCTAAGAATTTGAGCATAATAAGTACACTTTTATTTTATAAAACTTAAATTCATGAAATTTATTTTTTATATTTATTCTAGACAACATGGAAGACATAGAAAAGTATGCAGACTAAATTTTAAGGCAACAGAAAAATTTCAAAGTAGTATACTAGTTTATTTCTCTCTCCTCTCTTTTCTATAAAAGTATTTTTAAACACGATCAGGAGATTTTTTAAAAATTAAGATTAGTTTTTGAAAAGGTAATACATTATTAAGGTTTAAGATTCAAAAAGCACAAAAAGGGTATACATTGAAAAGCTCCCTCTCAACTCTGTTCCCCGGCACCCAGTTCTGTCCCCCAAAGTGTCAATTCACTCACCCTCCCAGGCTGATCACAAGCACACATCCACACAAACACGTGTCCTTACCTGCTAGCAGATTTTTACTTTCTTTTGTACCATACCTTTTTCAACTAACAATGTATCTTAGAGATCATTCCACATCAGTATCCAGAGAGCTTTCTCATTTATCTAATGTTCATATGGAATCTTATTACATGAATGTTTTGTAATTATTTAAATAGTACCTCTTTGATGGACTGTATTGACCAAAGAAGCTAGATGTTATTGCAGTAACAACGACAAAAATCCCCAAGTCAGATGTGTATATAACAGAAGTTTAATCTGGGTATCTGACTCCGTCTATTCCTTCCTCCAAGGACTGAGTTGAAACCCTCTACCATTTAAAAATAAATAAGTGACAAATCTCAATGTTAAGTTCTTACATACCTTTGCTGGTTTTCTGTCTACTAGTTCTATCTATTACTGAAAGAGGAGTGTTGAAGTCTTCAACTAGAGACTAAAATCTTTAATTCTCCTTTCAGTTCCATCAGTTTTGGTTTTATGTCAAAGCTCTTTAGTTATGTGCTTACATTACTTTTCTATTGCTCATAACAAATTACCACAAACTTAGTGGCTTCAATCAACTTCATTTATTACCTCAGGGTTCTGGAGGCAGGAGTCCAGGAGGGCTTGACTTGGTTCCAAAGAGAAGGGAAGGAATGGTCAAATCACCACAAGTTTGGTGATACTCTGAATTCTAGGGCGTTTCCTCTGCCCATCTGGTGTGTCCACTTTTCGTAGTCCTCCAAGTGTGGCACATTCAACCTGTGCAGGTTTTATAGTTGTTCTCAGGGAAGGAGACAGGGTGGCGTGTGTTTACTCCCACTGCACCCAGACCCAGAACCCCCAACTTGGGGTTCTTAAATATAAATGATGGAAGTTGACTCTGGCAGTTTCTTGTTTTTAGGTTATTGGATAACATAAGGAATTGGGAGTGTTGAAGATTGACTCTAGAGGCCATGCTCCAGTGACAATGCTGCTAATTCCGTCACAGAACCTGCTTAACCAGGGAACAGCTTAGCAGGGAACAGAAATTCGGGTTTTCCACAATGGCTACTGCTGCCAGTAGGAAGTCAATCTCCATATCCAGAACCCAAACCAGTGTTCATCTTCATCTCCAATGTTTTCTTGCTCAAGCCACTCATTCTAAATCCAAGCCTCTCATAGGTGAATCTAATTTATGAAAATCATGTCACACACCTTTATGTGCAAATCAAGTCCCGTGCCTGTATTTTTAACACTAAAAGGCCATGGAAGTGAGTTCTGTGGGTACTGCCTCATGGAGGGAAATCCCTTCGGCACACTGAGGATGTTCAAAACGTGTTGGGCAACGAGGAAATGTAATAAATGTCTACTGCATTTTGAATATATTGTATAAAGCAAAAGAAACTTTGATCCTGCCTTATTTACTAACACTGTGTAATCAATTTTGCTGATAAAAGTACTAATGTGTTTTGTATACCTAGAAGGTTTAATGAAATTAACTGGTATTTTTAAGTGCTTTTATTGTGACATTGACCATAGATTGATGAGAAAAACATTATATAGATACTGGTACTATTGTGCTTAAGAATTCATAATGTCACGTTTCCATTATAGGACTGTGCTATAAACAAACACACACACACACTGGATTCTTGCCCTCTGTAGTATTTACATCTTAACGTGTAGTGGTTAAGAGCACAGACTTTGAAGTGAAAAAAGCCTGCCTTGTACCCTCTCCTGTTACTCAATAGCTGAGCAATCTTGGGCAAGTTAACTTCTCTGCCCCCATGCTTTGTATTTGTAAAATGAGGGTGATAATGTCAGTTCCAAGCTCATAGAATTACTGAGAGGATGAATGGAGATCAATGTAAAGCCTGGTACATAGTAAATGTTCAGTAAATTTTAGTTATGCTTAATATTATGAATGCTTTTTCTTTGATATGATAATAAAATGTATTCATTTTATCTCCTAAGATACTCAAAGAATCTTCAATGCCGAGTAAAATGAAAGTATCTGTTTGCAACAAGTGGATATTTTTTGATTCATTATGTACTCTTAGTAAGTGAGTAGAAATAAATTGAAAGGCTTCTAAATGTTAAACAGGTCCACCTTCTTGTATATTGTGGTCTTAGCAGGTAGCTGGAATCTGGACTATCTCTGCTGGAAACCCTTATGCTTATCTTCAAACAGAAGTCACAGGGCTCTTCAAAGTTAAGAAGTCAGGGCAAAGGTCAATGGAAACTCAGCACATGATTATTATAACCTAGTCTGTATAAGCACATCATGTACAGAAGTCCAAACTTTTGAAAAATATTGTGAATGTTTTTTGGCTTCTGTGGCTAATGTTATGATAAAAGAGACTCGACTGCAATGTCTTTTGGTCCTTCCTCCCTGTCTGTTTAAGGGTGTTCCATGCAGCTTTGGCAAATAATGTTTCCAAAATTTTGAAATGTTTAACTGGTGCAGCTTTCTGAACTGGCTGACTCCCATGCAGTAAGATTTATTTCCTTTCGGTATAAATCAAACGTTTAAGATGATAGCTCAGAGAAGATAATTGAGATTTTATTGCTTTGGAAAGAATATCTGTGTGAGTCCTTCATACTCTGTTAGAAAATATTAACAGAAAATTAATGAATCCTGCTGTGAATCTGTGATAATTTGTGGCCTGGTCTCCCATAATAAAAAAATAAAACTCTAATCTTTACTAAGCTTTAACATGTAACATTAGATGTAACATGTAGGTTTTATTTTTTTCTTTCACATGGCAACAAGCGAAAAAAAGAATGTAAGTGTTTTTGCTTAAGGTCTTAGAAAAAGTGCCTCCCCTGACTAACTCAGAAAAAGTACCTCCCCTGACTAACTCAGGCACTTCGGAAAGACCACTGATTTCTGATACTTTGAGTGGATAAAATGTGGTTTTCCATGAAGAGGGTTAACTTATTACTGAGGACCCTGTGGATTAATTCTTGAAATGGGATCCTATTTCTGGCATACTGCAGAGTTTCTTTAATGCTGGGCTTAGGCCCTATTTGTAAAAATTATTTTCATGGCTGGGTCACGTTGGTTCCATTACTTTTTAGGATACAATTGGGGCTGCAGAGTCTCTAATTGTTTCAGAACCAAAGAAGAGGGTTTACAAAAGTGAGTTCCTGTGGAGGGAAAGCTTGGGAGCTGAGAATTTATGAGCATAGGGGTTCCCTTCTCTATGTTCTGTCATTGTCAGAAGCGTATATTCTTGCCAAGGGAGCAGTAGATTCTTGTATGGATATTGTGGGGCCATGTGGCCCTTCCTGTAGGTTTCGGATTTACGGATTTGTCCAACTTCATAGTGGCTGTATTACATTGTTTTGTCTTTATAATAAAAAAAAAATTTATTGAAGAATAATTCACTTACAATGTTGTGTTAGTTTCAGGTGTACAGCACAGTGATTCAACTATACATACATATTGTCTATTTTTTTTCAGATTCTTTTCCCTTATAGATTATTCCAAAATATTGACTATAGTTATAGTTCCCAATGCTATAAAATATAAACTAGAGCACAGGAAAATAGACATTTCAATGATACTTTCCATTGATTTACCAAATTTTAGAGTAGGTTACATCGAGGATTTTTAACAATGATTTCAAAAACTTCCTCCTGTAACTAGATCAGTTCACAGGACGATCTTTTGCACCACAGCTGAAATTTGAGACAGATGACTTTTCAGTAATGTTTTAATTCCAGTTAAAAGCTCAAGAGGATTTCCCAAGAAGAACAAAAGGAAGGGTTTGGAGCTGACTTGGATGAGAAAGCAACTTCTCCAGCTGCAAAATTGTTGCACGGGGGAAGCAGACAGATCATGTGCTAGTGAAATTAGCAAGAAAGGGGAACCCCTTGTTTCTGCCCTGGAATCTCCTCCTAAATCTTATATTCCCCAGTCAACTGTAATCTGACTACCATTTCCCTGTCCACAACATAAAGGAACAGCCTAATTAGGAAAATGTGCGTACTTGAAAATTACCTTGTAGCTGCTGTGATGAATTAAAACAT